AGAATTCGTTGAAGATGCGACATGGTTTGAAAGCTACGTGTAGAAGCAATATACATCAACATCAAGACCTAAAAAACACCTTGCTTCTTAACTGATGGAGGATGAGGGTAGAGCATTCACAATTTGTGTGATTTTTTTTCAAAAAAATTGACTGGGTCAGAGACTAGCACTACTTCCTACTTCCCTTCGGCTTCATGAGAAATGGATAGACATGGCTCACGTCCACTTAGCTCAAGTGGATGAAAAATTTCCTGATGCCTGGTGCATATGTTTGAGCCACAGGCTGAACGTGAAGCAACAGCGGGCGCCTTAGATTCTGCGGAATCCATGCCTGCAGCTACCGAACTGAGTGTGAAGGAGGCAAGATTTTGGCTCTTCATGGCTTTGTTCAAGAATCTGTCGAAGAATCTGTCCGAGAATTTGTTGAAGATGCATGAAGATGCGACATGGTTTGAAAGCTAAGTGTAGAAGCAATATACATCAACGTCAAGACCTAAAAAACACCTTGCTTCTTAACTGATGGAGGATGAGGGGGCAGCATTCACAATTTGTGTGAATTTTATTCAAAAAAATTGACTGGGTCAGAGACTAGCACTACTTCCTACTTCCCTTCGGCTTCATGAGAAATGGATAGACATGGCTCATGTCCACTTAGCTCAAATGGATTTAATTTCCTGATGCCTGGTGCATATGTTTGAGCCACAGGCTGAACGTGAAGCAACAGCGGGCGCCTTGGATTCTGCAGAATCCATGCCTGCAGCTACCGAGCCGAGTGTGAAGGAGGCAAGATTTTGGCTCTTCATGGCTTTGTTCAAGAATCTGTCGAAGAATCTGTCCGAGAATTTGTTGAAGATGCATGAAGATGCGACATGGTTTGAAAGCTACTCGTAAGTGTAGAAGCAATATACATCAACATCAAGACCTAATAAACACCTTGCTTCTTAACTGATGGAGGATGAGGGTAGAGCATTCACAATTTGTGTGAATTTTATTCAAAAAAATTGACTGGGTCAGAGACTAGCACTACTTCCTACTTCCCTTCGGCTTCATGAGAAATGGATAGACATGGCTCATGTCCACTTAGCTCAAATGGATTTAATTTCCTGATGCCTGGTGCATATGTTTGAGCCACAGGCTGAACGTGAAGCAACAGCGGGCGCCTTGGATTCTGCAGAATCCATGCCTGCAGCTACCGAGCCGAGTGTGAAGGAGGCAAGATTTTGGCTCTTCATGGCTTTGTTCAAGAATCTGTCGAAGAATCTGTCCGAGAATTTGTTGAAGATGCGACATGGTTTGAAAGCTAAGTGTAGAAGCAATATGGATTACTCGAGAAACATGGTATTCACTGTTACAGGTTGCATGGGGCCAATCTGAAATCTTGTGCACGCGATCCTGCTAAGTTTAAACAAAAACATGGGAAACTGAGAGATTCTCGAAACAAAGTTTCCTTTGTCAATGTCTAGATGTTGTCTCAGCTCCTGTTTGTTAACAACAATTAAGAACGCAAACATATTTGTTTCAACTTGACGCGCGTACGAGCTCTGCCTATTTGCATCCATGCGAACATTCTTAGCCTAGAAGCTTTTCATTGATGTGGACATCTTCACCGCCGGGACAAACAAGCGATATTCAATTGGAGCTCCTGCGCGCCACCGAGACTAACAAGATAGCACGCCATTCTCCAAATCCTGTCCAACCTTCCGCCAGGCCTCCACCACTCTGCCCTTCTCTCCGGATTCTCGAGGCTTTCAACCAGTCGCACTATGTCCAGATACTCAGCGCAAGTTGAAAGACCCAACCGGTTGGACAACCCGGCTCTGTTGACACAGGAGATAGGTATCAGGTACTCTACCACCCTCTCAGCGTGAGCAGACTGATTTGCCATCTGTTCGATTGGCTGAGGGTATTTCATGAGTAATTGAAGAACGCATCAAGTTGGGGTTCCTTCCTCCTGTACCATTTTAAAGATGGTGTTCCAAAAATTTGGCGAAGTGAAACAGGGCATTATCTTCTTTTGTGGCTTTAGGTTGAAAGTATGATGGTATGATGCGCCTCTTTCGAGAAATTCTGGCTTAAGTCGATGATTTGACCTGGGCCTAAGCGCAAGAAGTAAGGACTGTAAGGACTCTGAAAGCGTGGCATCGTCGCCGTTACTTGGGCTCTGTTTTGGTGTGGAGTCCGAGGAGTCGGAAGTGGAAGACGAGTGGTAGAGGCAAGTCTATATCGGGGAGGCTGGTCCCACAAGGAAAGAACAGAATGACGTTAACACCGCAGTAGTTTCGTGAATGTAGTCGCGTTTCCAACAGCACCCTTTGGAGATGAAGTCTGAGGTTGGCAGATGATTTTGACAACCGTCATCTCCTAACTGAGCATTCTCCTCGAGAGTGTGATTCTAAACGAAAGGAACTGGAAGCTCGGCAAAAAGTTGGAGACAATTTGTGCAAGGAAAGCTGATCAGAAAGGCGTTACTGTATTGGCCAGCTGTCACTTTTTCTTTGGCCTAACAGAGGTGTTTCAGACGTTTTGAATTTCAGAATTGGTCCAACTTTGCAGGATCTGGATTGCCTAGCCAGAGTCATAGAAGACTCTGCAGATGCGGTGTGTCTCGGCATTGCGAGCTAGTCCACATTATAAAAACATTGTGGGACATTTCTTTGGCGTTCATCAAGAACATGCAGTTGAAAGGCGGGCAATCAAGGAAGGCGACCGCTGGCAAGAACGTCATTCTCCTGATGGGCAGCACGGGGTCCGGAAAAACCTGCTTTATGCACACTCTCGCAGGTGTGGGGTTGTCAAGTTTCGTTAATGTGTAAGAAACTATTGTGACTCAGCTGTGGCGTTATGCAAGTGCTTTGCAATTGCAGGCCGTGAGTTAATCCGCCAACACCGAGACGTGGATGGTCTGAACCAAGAGGTATGGGAACCTTGGCTTGAACTTACCTATAAAATCTATAAATTTGATGGCTCACTGTGCAGGCAGGTTGCTTCCCATATTTGTTCCTAGACCTGGCTCCAGACCAAGGAAGCCAAGGAGCCACTGGAAGGGTTCACCATCGGCCACAACAAAGCACGATCTGAAACGTGACTTGGCAATGCATCGCTGCTCAAAACGGCAGTCTCAGTTGGGACATGTTGGGACGGGCTGGCAGCAATCACCACTCATCAACAATACGACCGACCAGACATTTTTCATAGAAACTCCCACCATGGGCTTCAGCGATGGTTTGCAGGGGATTGATGTAGCAGCAGCAGGAACACCTCCGACGAACCGCCGGGGGAGCAATGAATTTGTTGTTAAAGACGTGGAACCTGGTGGAACCCTGGCTACAGCATCTACAGCCGCAAGGCTCGTAGCTGAGGCGCAGTCTGCGCGCCTTGCCTTTGCCGGAGGCTGATGTAGTGGTGGTGGATGCGCCGGGCCAGATGGACACTCGAGCAAGTGAGATTGACATTGCGACCTCAGCGGTGTGTCATCGAATTGCGCAGGGGTGCAGGAGACCCTCATGACCAATGGCCATTTTTTAGGCGCAGGAACTTCGACTTGACTTCCAACATTCCCAAACTGTTCAGAACTCTGCATGACGATATCAAAGCAACTGGGGAAGAAAGAGAGGAATAGCCAGAGCCTGTAATAGCGTGACTCACTAGATGGTCTAGAGTCTAGAGTCTAGATGCTTTCTAGCGCCCCAATGATTCCACATGTAAATCCAGAGTTCTAAACCTGTCCAAAGGTGACATGGAAGGTGAGTTGATGCGTTGGTGGTAAGCTGGTACAGACCATCAGGTGAGCACTTGCGCTCCATCCTTTCCGCATCTTTTCGCCAATAGTTCCACTTAGATGAGATTAAGCTGAATTCCAGGGCGCTAATCACTAATCGTTCATCACCATGGAATTACTTGCCGAGCATGGGACGGCTCAAAACTCTTTCAAGCAAAACCTATCAACTTTGGCTCTTTTGTTCGGAATCCCCCAACTAAAATGTATTGAACACAGGTTTTGTGTCGTGTTTTCCTTTTTGTTTGTTTGAGCCTGGCCAAAATCTTTCGTAGCTTCTGTAGCTTCTGTAGCTTCTGTCGCTATAGCTTTTGCCGCCAGGATGCTTCGCTTTGTGGTTCTCATCAATTGCCACACCTTCCTGGTAGACCGTGCTGGTGGACTGCGGCGGATTGCCGAGCTGGTGGCCAATGTGTTGCCTGACTTTGGAAAGAGCAGGCCTGGAAGTGTGCAAATATTGGCTGAACACAAGTCACTTTGAGGGCGCGTTGCCAGTGAGAAGTTTGTCTTGGGGAGTTCTTCGAGAGTTTTGCCTCCATTTGTTTTGGAGAGAAAGGAGGTTGCGTGTTTACATTTTTTAAAGAGAGTTTTGCAATTGAAGTGCTTCAGTTTGCATCTTGCTGCAGGGAGCATCCTTTTGCAGTCAACTTCTTCTTCACGCATGTGGAGGCAAGGGAGGGCAGCATTATCCCGCCAACAGGTTGCATCAGACACATGGAGACAATTCAACCTGGAAGGCTTTGAGCATCCAGGGGAAGCTGACTCCCGAAGCGGCCCGCAGTCAAGTACATCATTGGCTTCGCGAGGTCTTGGATGGCTCAGATGAAACTGACTCTTAGCGCGAGTTTTTGCAGTGGCATGATCACATGAGTCAATGCATGAGTCAAACCACATGCAATACCCGCACGGTCCCAGACTTCCTCCGTGTGAACGAAAATGAGTCAAACCATGCCATAACAATTATCCTTTGTTGCGATGCCTTATGTGATCAGGCAGAGATGTGGTCTTCTTGATTGTGGTAGCATGTCAGACTTTGATAACCCAGGACAGCCTTGCCCCTCTGAATTGGATGCGGAAGTCCACGGACCACTATTCGAACAGGTGAGGTTTTATTGTAGTTTTGAAGACAGGGTAGCAGCGCCCGCACTGTTTCTATCAGATTCGTGCGGACATGCTGGCGCTTGCAGGTTTGGTGGATGTCTACAATCCAGACTGGACCACCCAAAAGGAAGTGCGCAAGTCGGTGATTCGCTTCCAAGACAAATATGCTCTCAGTCGATGCCCAAGATATATTAAGAGGTCAAGTAGTTGCGAGCAGTATGCTCCGATTGCCAGATTTATATCCATTATTGCTTTCTTTCAAGACCCGAATGTATGGCAAGGCTTGGGGCAAAGCTTGCTATCGTATCGAGATCTATCGAGTCCATAACAGTTTCCCCCCGTACGATACCATACCTACTATAGCAATGCACACGAGCCTCATGAGCTCTGAAAGATTCTGACACAAGTGTTTGTATGGCTCCTGTTTGCTGGGCTAACTTTGATTGGCTTGCTACTAAGGTCAAGAAGGAGGTTTGATCCAAGCAAACTCAGTGGGTGCGATATTGATGCCTGCCAGCAAGGCCAGGTCCCGCCCAGCTCAGTCAGTTGGGCATGCAGCTGTAGGGAATTCGATGCCCAACCCACGAACGCTTCGGTGGTTCAAACGGTTAAAACGCAAGCTGTGCAGGTGAAGATAGAACGCATGCTGCTGGCCAGTCGGGATGAAGTTCAAAAAGTGCTGGAAGAAGCAAGTCCTGAAGACTTGCCTGTACTGGGCAGCTTGGTTGTTGCTGGCACAGCTTCGCTTGGAATCGCACAGACACACATCCCACTTGTTCCCTTGCATTACGTCATGCGACAGTCTTCTGTTTCCAGGTAAGCTGTGGAAGAACATTGATCTTGTGAAGGAATATTTGATCAGCTTGCCCAGTGCACGTAAGACACGAGATGAGATTACCGAAATGTTCGAGCGATGGTTTGACGATCTATCGCAGCTTGACTTCCTGAAGCATGCTGGGGATCAGGTTACAAAGGGCTCCACGCGCATGCAGTTGAAGGGATTCCACCTAGTCTCTTTGACCAAAGCGGGGTAACCCATCTTAATATGCACTTGCCTTGGACAAGTCCGCAGGGAGCCATGCGTACTTCCATGTTTCAGAGTGAGTATATGCTTTGCAGGAGACAGCCATGTGTAGGAAGCGCTGGAATACAAACCAAGAACCGCAGGGGATTTTCTGGTCCAAAGTCCAAGGCACGATGCTGCAATCCTGCACGCCCAACTCGAGAGCGATCAAGAGGATTTCAGCGAGCTTGAAGCAAGCAAGCTGTGGCTCCTTGACTATCGTAGGTGGACATGGAGATTTTTTCGGCATTTAGCTCTTCTGGTGACTCTTGGGTGAGTGTTGCTCACACCATCTCGATACATGCTAGATGCTCCAAATGACGTTGCCTCTCAGGAACACAATCAACATGTTGGAAGGCATTGCTTGTTTGGGGCAGAGCGGCTGGGAAGCGCCAACGTTTGAAGCAGGTCACTTCCAGAAAAGGCTCAACAGTTACTTGGCTGATGAATGAGTGAAGGCATTCATGCGATTCATGGGGATATACTGTTCTATCATGAGTTGGAATTTGGTAGCCTGCTAGCTAGCATGCCATGAAAGGAATCTCAAACACTGTGTGTAGGTTCTGTTGGGACAATTTTGAACCATTCAATGTGAAACGTAAAGTGGGAGGCATTCTCTCGTGAGCAACTTGGTTTTCAAGCATACTGCACAGTGTGAGGCTCAATCGACAATTGTTTGGAGAAATTGAAGGCAGCGTGTCATGCGACTGCTATTGTGAATTTGCCACGGGTCAACGACCTTATTCGGTGGCAATCCAAGATCAACGCATGGCATCTTATCAAGCCTGACTGGGCGAAACAAGTGCGCATGCTCATAGAAGCCCACTTTGAGCAGGCCCTGGAAGTGACAAAGTTGGTGTCCGTGTGGGCTAGTCAACTGCCCTTCAGGCTTGCTCAATACAGTTACTGGATTTCCTATATTTCCTCAATGATCACCTTGCTGTGAGGCCAGACCCAATCAACCCCATCAAAGATTCATCGAATACTCCTTGAATGATGTTTACGATTATGATGTTGGCCAAGAAAAAGGGCGCCCCCCCACCGCAGAGAATATTTTTGACTTACTGCGATGTTTAGATTGTACAAGCATGTCCTTGAGCAGGCCGCAAGTGAAGCCAAGAAGGTCCACGAGCTTGGAAATCGTGTCATTGTGGTTGCAAGGCAGGAGAATGTCAAGGATATCGCTGCGGAAGTGGATGCGTTGGATGGATGGAAGATGGAAGCGATCTTCCATGAATCCTTTGATGCCTTGCAGAAGCAGTTTCAACAAGTCTTCGAGAACGCTTCCGAGCTTGCGCTCTCATCTGTGAAGGCGGTCTTGGAGTCTCCTGCGTCAACTCCCAAGTTTGACTTCACCATGCTAGGGGAAGTAGCAACATCAATCGAAGAGAGCAGGTTGGCCTGGGATGGCGCCCAAGGTGTGGCTCCACAGACGCGCGCCTGCTTAGCCACATGGCATCAACACCTACGAGGGGCGGTGACTGGTTGGCTCAGCGACTTGTTGGAGGGCAGCAGGGTAGTCCTACAGAATGTGGCTGAGCTAGCTGCGGGGAATAGCGACCAAGAGACTCAGCCAAATTGAGCTGAAATGACAATCTTTTCCATAATGCGAACGAGTGAAGAATGAGGATTAAACGGGCCATAAAAGTTCTTATGATGCCCACGATTTTTTAGAAACTGCAAGCATAGCCAGCGCTAGCAAATCCTTCAAGTGACAAAGACTGAAGGACTTTCGTTTTCTCCATATTTTGAACCTCCCAATTTCATCCAATTTCAGATTTTCAAGTCTGAAAACTGTAAGTTTGGCAAGGCGTGCTGCCACTGTAAACACACCTTGACTCCGAAGGATGTGGATAAGGCCTGCGGTACTGGCTACAAGAATATCTTTGACACCATGTTGAAATTGGCAGAGTCCTTGCCCGACTCCGACAAACGCATTTGTACTACGGACTCCTGCGAAGTGGTGCCTTGCATCAATAGCGCTGGGTCAAGCAGTATGATGCTCAGAATGTCTACCTCATACACTCACATGTTGGAACGGAGAGATGCAAGAAGCCACTAATCTTTCTTGAGGGCATGCAGTGGAGGTTTTGCGATACAGCGTCAGGTAGATCAAAAAACAATGCTGGAATGGAATATAATTTAATACTAATGTAACATAGTTGAACAAGACACATTTATCCCAAAGTAATCTAGATAGCCTTTCTTGGGGTCTCGGGGTAGTGATCAGAATGGTGAGCTGTTCAAAGTAGACCTCATGGCAGGCCAGTCGCACTTTGTGCCATGTTAAGGCGAGGACGCAGGTGCTGGGCTGCATGAAGCAGCTGGCTTCGGCGGCCTTGACATTGTCTGCCCAAATTGTCATTGCCCCAGGAAAATCAGATTTGGACATGAAATGTTAGATCAAGAAACGGCCCCAGGACGTGACAACCTTGCCTGAAACTCTGCCGGGGGTCCACTTAGAATCTTAGAATCAAAAGATTGCAGTTGATGAAAGTGGGTGGTGGCCCTTTGCGCAAGCCATGAGGTGGTGTGCTTTTGTCTCTTTTGGTTTTCTAGTTTCGTTCATGCGGACCGGATGGGCCCGAAGCGATGATCTCAGGCCTATGTACCAATCAAGTGAGAAGGATTTGTCCCAAATAGAGGCTCTCCTTAGATGGGACATCTAGGAGAATCTAGGATGGAAACCAATCAGATTCCACAGATTTCGAAGGTTCAAAATTTTGCAGATGTCTACTTGGCCCACTTGCTGAAAATCCGAAGCACTTTGCTCCGCTGAGGCCAGTGGCTCTGCCCCGCCCGTGGTCTTGAAAAGCCTGCTTGTGCTCTTTGGCTATGTCTCCAATTTATCGTTAGGCCCCCATGGTATGAGTCTCCTGGTTGTTCTTCTTTGGACGCGGTGTGATTTAGCGTCACTTTGCTAAGGGTAGATAGCTGGATAGACAGCTGGATGGCTAGATAGATAGATAGCTAGATAGATAGCTAGATAGATAGAAAGCTAGATAGCTAGATAGCTAGATAGATAGTTAGCTAGATAGCTAGATAGGTAGATAGATAGCTAGCAAGATAGCTAGCTAGATAGGTAGATAGATAGCTAGATAGATAGATAGCTTGCTAGATAGATAGATAGCTTGCTAGATAGATAGCTAGCTTGCTAGATAGATAGCTAGCTACATAGCTAGATAGCTAGCTAGCTGGATAGATAGCTAGCGCCCTCCCTCAATCCCCCCCACCCGCATTTTATCTAATCCCAAGCTTCCGCATCTGTAAATATTTTGGTGAACATGCTCACATGTAGAACATCCCATGCAAAATGGAAGGTGGACATGCCAAAATGTGGCAAATACCATACAAAATGGAAGGTGAACATGCCCACATGTAGGAAATCCCATGCAAAATGGAAGGTGAACATGCCAAAATGTGGAAGGGAACATGCCCAAATGTGGCAAATACCATACAAAATGGAAGGTGAACATGCCCACATGTAGTAAATCCCATGCAAAATGGAAGGTGAACATGCCCAAATGTGGCAAATACCATGCAAAATGACAAATTCAAGTTCCAAACCGTTGCAAACACTAGGCAAATGGTACCAGCCAAGAAATCCAAAAAAAAATCCCAAACCTGCTCAAACAAAAAATCCTAAAATTATTTCACACCCCTTTGCTAATCACATCTTTGTGAGCTTGCAGGCCTTGCGTACGCTGCCAAGAATTGCTCACTTATCATGTTCCAACGACATTGTGATCCGGGTCCATGTTGAGTCAATGAATGGAAGTTTTCATGTTGATTTTCCTTCTCTCTACCATGCATGAGTCAGGATCGCTTGCTAGCAGTGTCAATACTTCTTGAGGGGTGGAGTCCACATACGAATGCAGAACTATCTTGCTTGAATGGCCTGCGGGTGAGATCACCCTTATAAATAAATTCAACAGATCGGAGATGCCAGGGAGTATTTCGGTGACTGAGGCGTCTGGAGGTGCTCGAAGACTTCTTGTGGATGGACAGCGTCAATGCCAACAATGAAGCTTCAACGAGCTTCGCCGAAGTGCTTGACACCATCAAGTTCCTTGGATTTTCTTGGGCAAGTGAGGGAATCAAACTGAACGCAAGGCCTTCTCTTGTTTTTACATGTATATGACATATCAAGTGCTCAAAGTGTAAGGACGATACAAAGCAACATTTTTACCCTTCCAAGCCTCGCGACCTGGGTCGAGGAAGCAGATCAAGAAGTATTCGGATGATCTATGCCTTCGATTTGAGACAACGTTTCGCGCTTTTCTAGAGGATTCTCCGGATAGCAGAACACCTTCGAAGCTTGGCGGGCCGAGGGTCAGGTTGCAAATGTAAGTCCATGTAGGTCTTAGGTGCGGTCATGATTTTGCGCCTGCTTTTCCAAACTAAATGTCAAACCATGTCAAGCCTAAGGGAGATGATGCGAGCTTGGGAAGAGTCTCAGAGGCTGATGGCTCTGACTTCTGGAAGGCAGTTTTTGGAGGAAGACTGTCTCAAGGACAAAATGGACACTTGCCAGCAATCTTAGGCACGTAGGATGTGCTGAAGTTATAGCCACTCTTGCTCAACAAGGTGTTGTGATTTAATATTCTTGACTATTTTGGCCTTGAAGCCTTCATTTGTCAAGGAGTCGCTTCTGGAGACATGGATCTGTGGCCGAGGACTTAGATCTTTCACCTTACATTGGAAACACAACATTTTTTAAAGGCAGGGTGTCCTTTTTGACCCCTGTACCCCCCTGAGTCCCAGAGAGGGTCGAAAATGACGGCCGGGCCATTTTTCAGGCTTCTCCGCCATGAAGGAACAGCCCGCGCTGGAACATTCTGACTCCTGGCTGGCAGACACTGTCAACAATATGAAGCAGTTCGAAATGTGTCAAAAAGGTAAGCAATAAAATCAAAGCACTTCTACAGCTGCTGAATTGGTTTGGGTTTGACCGAGCGCAGACTCTGCTGCGCACAAAACTGAGTTTAAATGCCGCATGCATCCTGAAGGTGTTTGCACTCTTCTGCACAACATCAGTTTGCTAAGAAACTCAGTGGCGCAAACACATCCGAATTTGCTAGCAATGGAATTGGCGGAAGTTTGTGGGAAGAAGGACAGCAATCCTGGTGCTCTAGTGCATGGCCCTTGGCACAGATATGCGTTGTATACGTTCGCACCGAGCATGAAGGAAACACCACATGTATACCCGAGTTGAGACTGCGACAATGTAGCCTTTGGCAAGTTAATCTTTCGCGCAATCTATCAATTTGCCCATTTATCTCTTTTTGATCTGATCTGACCGATCTAACCTCACCTGACCTCATCCATCTCATACAGCCAATGTGTATGATTATCTAATCTAGTCATATCCAGTCTAACTTAATCAAGGGCAGGATATCTGTATAGTCTAATCCGACCTGATCTTATCCAATCCACTCCAATTCTAAGGTAATGGGTATGTAGTGTGAGCTAATCCAACCAACTCTAATCCAACCCAATCAAATTTCCAATTTTTATTGGTGAAACGTGCGCAGGCAACAAGTCGGCCGTAGGCAAACGGCACTAGGAAGGGAGAGAGCCGGAGGTAAGAGCCAAAGCAGTGTCCGGAGGTTCATGCTACCCAAAACTGTTTTGTGACAGGATGTATCTGTGGGCCAGTTGCCGACAGCTAGTGTTATGGTCTTCACCCTGGGCCGGCCGGGAACCATCGCCTCTTGAAATCAAGGAAAACTTTCCAGATGACAAGATGCGTTGGGAACTGAGCGCACATTCTGTTTGAAGGTTCATCTTTCGATTACACTAGTAACAACTGAAATCTTGCAGAGCCTTGCAGCAGAAAGCTTGCCTTCTGCCAGGCTTCTGTGCTATCTCAGCGCCTGAACTTGAACTGGAACATCTTGATTTCTGGCCGGCAGCAGACCTTGACAGTATCCTTCATGCTCATGATCAGCTACAGCCACTTTTCCCCGATGCGCTTCCCTCCGGTTGGAAGCAAGCGCTCGATCGTTCCTGGGACGAACATTGCAGCTCCGAGTGGTTTGGACGGGAAGTTCCCTTGATCCACATGAGAAGTGTAGTCCAAAAGTTGGATGCGCCAAGTTTGGTTGAGTTGGTATTGGTGCAACATGTGATGTCAGGTCTTCAGAAAACAGCTGACACGGTCAAGATGTTCTTCTTTTCCTGCGTGGATGAGCCAGGCAACTACAAAGACACGGCTGCCAAGATCGCCAGCTTGAACCTGGCAGATTTGCACAGTGCAGCTTTCGATGAAGCCAAGCGTTCATTGCAAGAATGTCGCTGCGTTCTGAATGCGCGGAATTCAGAGGATGACCAGGTAATCCAGTCTGCACTTGAAAGCTTCGATTTCAAAGGCTTGAAGGAGCTTTTGGGAGAGGTTCCAGATGCGATGGGGGCAGAGAATGCAGCGACCAAACTATTCCATCACCGTGTTGATCAGATAAAGCAAGTGGTGCTGGACCGATTGACTTTGGCAAAGCAATCTCTTCTCCAGCCCAGAAAATTCGCACTTGAATTCCGCAAGTTGAAAGCAGCGGAAGCAGAAATCGGTGACTACCTGAAGCTCTACCAGGACCACCCTGGGCTGTGCTTTCAAGATGAGGGCCTGATGAGGGGTCAGTGTTATAAAGTGCCCCATCATATCCCATCATCTTGACTACTAGTGCGGTGAAGGGCGAGACCTTGCCACCAATCCCCCATCAAGCAGCATCAACCATCAGATGCCACAAGCAAGTTGGACTCCAGCGGGTTCGCCCCAGCCGGGACCGGCACGGCAAGCGCTGCAGGAAACGAACCTCACCGAGGAGGTGCAAAAGATTGCACGACAAGCATTGGAACATGTTCAGGCTATGTTGGCGAAGCTCAAGGCTGCGCGTCCAATGTGATGATGATGATGATGATGATGATGGTGGATATGCAAGGATCCCATGGGGCCACTACTGTAATTGTTGCGCTAGTGTTTTTGTTGATAATGGAGGGAGTCAAAGATCCTGGTGTGTCTCTTTCTGTAGGCGCTTGCAAATGGCTACTACATTTTTATCTATTTAAATGATGATGCATGGTGAGTGAAGACCTTTCCAGACATCAATGGCAACCGAACAGATGGCGCACAACCTGTAAGGACCAATCTGTTGTTGCACGGCCAGTGCATTGGATTTGCCTTCCCTTCCAGGCTGAAACCGAACGGAAGAGCTATGACATGTGTTTGGACCATGCAGACGAGCTTGAGGATTTAGTTGCTCGATGGCGCGACCTTCACATCATCACCCCCACTCAGCTCTCTGAGATGGATAGGGTAATTTCCAAGGCCCCATCGTCTGATTTGTTGGTGGCGCAGCCAATTCGCAACACCTTGTCATTTCTTGTGTCCTGTTGCTACAGCTCTGCACATTTTATCTCTTCCGCGTTTTCTGCATTCTTTCGCATGCGCTATCGCACATCTTTGTGCAAATGCTTCGGGATAAACATCTCATCAACATCAACAGCTAAAAGATGTTGTCTTGACATGTCTTGACTATTTGTTCTTTGCCTGAAGGATTGTTGTTGCATTTCGAGACATGGGAAATCGTGTTGGCTTTGCTGATGCCAGGCCAAAGGTTGCTTGGAGATTGTGAGGTCGCTGATGACGAGTTTTCTTGAGATGGTAAAACATGTCGAAACTTGGCCCCATTGAGAAGCGACGGGACTGGGGGATGGTGATAAACATGTTACTGGAGGTGTAGGCCATGCTATGCCATGCTGCATCCTCCGGGAAAATGCTTTTGGCTGGCGGGGGCGATCTCATAGGCAGTCCTCAAACAGTCGTTGGTCTTTGAGATTCTTTGAGCCACGGCTGCTGCTCATTGGCTGAGGACGAGAATGCTAACTCTAAGGAGTTTGTTCACGAGCTCAAGATGCTGCAAGCCGGCTGTCGCAGTGACGTCAAAGAAGCTGGCAATGGAACCATTGAATTGGAGTTGGGTCATGTTTCTCAGGATAGTATGTTCTTCCCCCCTGTCTTTGTTCAGCATATTTCTTCATATCAATGAACTGGCCCAACTTGGGTCAGTAGCCCACGAGGCTTGATTGTTGGTGTTTTCTATTGCCTACATAATACATACACACACACAGATATATATATATATACATATATATATACGTATATATATATACACATAGATGCATGCATGCATTTGCATCGGCTTCAAGATCCAACACAGGGACTCGCGATTTGATTTATGTTGGATCTTGGCAACAACGGCAAGTTGCGATGATGTGGTCAAAGTGCCGAGGATGTGTACAAGAGCACAGTGGAGCATACGAACCAGGATTTGGATTCATTCGTTCAAGAAATTATCCAGAATGCTGCACAAAATGCCTCTTCATTGAGCATCTCCGTTGCACATAGTCTTCACATGTCTTCACATGTCTTCACATGTCTTCACATATAGTCACATCGCCACCATGATTCAAAGGAAGACACGGCACCCCCACAATACAAACGAAATAGCTGTTGCACAGTCAACGTAGTCAAGTCGTGGACATGGCTTTGCCAGTAAAAAAGTATTTTGAACGGTTTTGTGAATGAGTTCTGCCTAAATTTCAGAACAATTTTTGAGGCGTTGATGCTCTTGAGCTTCTGAAGAAACATTTCGATGAAGGCCTCGGAGATCATCTTACAACAGTTCCTGGTCGAGTGCAGCAAGAACTGGAGAAAGTGAAGAAAACGGTGCCTGGTCTTTGATTTGGACACAGTGTTCTGATCATACTCCGATTTCTTAGTGCGCAAAGCCAGCACGCCATTTGCTTGGGAACATAGCGCTCAAGTGTGAAGCTGCAAGTTTACAGGAACATCTGGGCTGCATGGAACAGCTGACAAACCAAGCAAGATCTATGCATTTTCAGAAGGTTGAGTGAAATTGGCCGGTAGAACCAGTGCAGCTTGAGTTTTAGCCGTCGCACTGGCCTTGAGCAAATTGAATCCCAAGGTTGAATCGCACAACCAAACCCTGCTGGCCAAGCTCTACTCAGAAGATGAGATTCAGCAGTTGAAAGCTGAGTTGGACAGTTTCAAGGCCATCGCGCAAGGTTGCACTCAGAACCAAGGAACATTGTATGCCGCGGTGGTGGGAGCCTACAGCTATGCAACAGGTTTTTTCAGCACCACATCAGGCAAGACAGCGGAAAGGGAAATGCAGGCTAAGCGACGGGCTCGGAGTGCTCAAAAGGATTACAGCGTGCTCAGGGAAAAAGTGAACAAAACAATTGCAGAAAATGCCCAGGATGGGCTGGCTGCAGTAGACGGAGGAAACTTCGAGATTGCTGGAAGTGTCTTGCGCTTCAAATCTCTGGTGGAATCTCGCTTGAAGGAGCATTTGGATGTCGTTGCAAGCAAGGAAATGGAGAACTTTGAGCAGGAAGTCGAGGAGTTGCTACGGGGCAAGCTGGACAAACTCCTGATTGCCCTAAAGGATGGGCCAGATGTTCGAAGAGCAATAACGGACCTTGGATACTCGTTGGAAATAAAACATTTATTTCGGGGGCAAGTGTGCAACCACACACTAGCTGTTGGTTCTGCACTGTTGCTGCAAGTTTTACTTCAAGTGAGCCTGCGTCCAGAGCCCACATCTTTTGATATGGTCACTTCTTCACCCACTGTGGCATTCACGCCGCCGAGCCCATGTTCAGGAAACTCTCTTCCACGAGCCTGTTTTTACCTCGGCTGGAATACTAAAGTAGCGAGGTCAAAACGCTCGATTTTTGCAAGCACATGGATTTTTTTTGGCCATGTTGTCGTGATATCGCGATCGATTAGGCGGAACCTTGTGAAATTCTGATACGGTGCCGGTTAGTGTGCGTCGTCTCTCGGTTTTACACAATTTTGAAATTTGAACCGGTTTTTCCGCTTCAAGCAAGCGATGGCTTGCAGCATCGAGTCACAAGGTAATGTAAACAGGCAAACATTTTGTTTAGGCTGTCCCGCTTTGAACCACGTGATGCAGTGGATGAACGCGGGCATTATGCGCCGAAGGTTCATGTGTGCTTGTGGGTGTGCGTGTGGCCGTAGGGCTGCGTGCGTGCTTGCGGTAGTGGTTGTGTGTGTTGGCTGGGAGACTTGCGATATTTGTACTTTTATTTGATCAGGAGAGGCACTGGGCACTTCTTTCCAAAGCCAGTGAAAAGAAAAAAATGCCTAGCACCAGAAAGGGAGGCCCGATACAGTATACTTACGTTTGAAGAAAATCCAGGTGGAGCCATGAAGAAGAATACATGCGTTTGACGCTGATATCGTTGTAATGCTGTAACGCTGGTTTAAATCATTCTGGCATGTCAGAGCCAAGGACACTTCTTGGACTTCCTCCGCCATGTGTCCTTCAAGTTCGACAGAACCCTCTTCCATGATGTTTTGCGCGACTTTGTGGAGGAGCAGAAACAGAGACTGGAGCAGGCCTTGTCAAATTCGCTTGTGGAAGAGGCCATGGATGCAAAGCTTGATCTGCAAGCGTTGTCATTGATCCTGAGCACCAGGTTCGCCCTCTACAAGCGAACAATGTCAGAGTTGCCACTTCAAGAGCACCCCAGAAGGGCTTGGAAGCGGCTGGTTGACATCCAGGAAAGCATCATTGACGAAGATCTTGGAAAGCAAGGGGAACATTTTGCTGTTCTGGAAGTCTTTCCATCCATGCCTCATCGAGATGGCGAGATCCAGCTGCCATCGTCTCAAGAAGTCAAGCAGGCTTTCGTCAGGAAGAGCAAGCAGTACCATATGGACAAACAGTACCTTCCGGATAGGCAGCAAGCACGCATCAGCCCGTCAATGAGAGGTTGGATGATGCCGAAGGTGAATGCGGCAAATGAATTCTTACAGAGTGATGTCAATCGCCAAGGTTTTGGCAACCGAATCGCAGGACTATTCTGGCAGAAGCTAGAAGGCGGGGTTGCTTGCTTTGTCCTAAGCCTCATGAATTGAACGGTGGTTGGTTGGAAGCCTGAAACGGAATTTCTGTGAAGGGGTAAGAAGCCAACATCTGAAAGCATCAAACTTCCTGTTGCAGGCCTCAATGTGAAGTTGCGTTCTTGTGTGGAAAGGTTGATCGAAGAGCAGAAGTTCGAGAAGTTGAAAGCGATGTTACAGGAACTTCGGCGGGTTGACAAAAAGCTGGCCGACAAGATGCGGATCTCGGTTCCTCAGCTAGAGAAAATCATCCAGGACCAGGGTTGATTGCCGCTTGACGCAGCCCCACAAAAACGGTAGACTTGGAGAACCGATATGAACCGATGTCACCAAATGTACGGACGGGCACAGGAAACGCAAACCAATTCAGTCAGCCTGACCAGGACCACGTGATCGACGAGGTGAGGAAGACAAAAGAAAACGTGCAAACTACATGGCAAACAGGATCGCTCAGAGAGCTGAATGAAGATTTGCTGAAACTGAAGGAGATTAGCCAACAGTTTGCTGCTTATCCTGAGATTGTCCCAGAAAATTTGATGCAGGACATTTCAAAGACCGTGGCGGAAGAGATCATGGAAGAAGGGCGGAGAGCGCGGGTCTGTATCACCAGTTGTCAATCAAGGAACGAGGCAATGGCATGCATTATGCAATTTGGAGGACATCTAATTTCACTCGGCCGCATTTGCCACCACTTGCGCGATTTCAAGACTAGGGCAGAAGGGCAAATTTCTAATGTCTTGGCTCTTTGCTACGAGAAGAGTTGGGGTCCGACCTTTCTTCTTCAGCTGGGCATGAGTTTGGGAAAGGGGAAAATCGGGATTCCCAACACGGATGATGATACGGTGGCAAAGCACTTGTTGAGTTCCTTTTCGCACTTCAGCGATGCGCGGATGGTCATGTTCAATGTCGAGACGATCCTCACGCAGAAGGATATAGAGCAGACGCTAAATGCGACTCGAGCGGTGTCCTAAGCATCTTTTGTTTGTTCTGAATGCAGGTGTGGCTGTATGTAGCAATTTCTTGATGAGACATTCTTGTTTTACTCCTCTTCTCCCACTGGCTCAGGAAATCTCTTCCTGGGATGTTGGGGCAAATGGCCGGAAGAAACGACATCTTGCCATCCGCAAACTACAAGAGGGTTGGGAAGAGTACGACCGCCTATTTGATGAGTATTTGAAGAAATGGATTGCCTCAGAGCTGACGCAAGACCAGTTGACTCAGCAGATCATGGCAACTGCGGGCCAGCTGCGTGCACAGAGTGGCGGCCAGTGGACTTCTGAAGTCAAGGCAAAGATTCCGGAGTTGCTCGCGGGGATCTTCGCGCTTTATGCGATTCCCAGGTCCGGAAAGGCATACATCTCTGCGCTTGCAAGTGCTACCAACGACGAGGAGAAATCTGAAGCTGTGGAACCGGAGGAGCGGCTGACCCACGAGCGGAACAATTACGAACTGATTTCTATCAAAACAAATGCCAGCTCTCTCTCTCTCTCTCTCGCTCTAAACAATTATTAGACGCTGCGCTAGGAATCCTCCGGCCAGATTTTACTAGCTCGATCTGTTGCAGCCAGTGATTGGTACAGGTATGCACAGTAAAGCTATATGTCTTCCCTAAGTCAGAGATGACTCTTCCGCACAGCTGCTTTTGCCATTGTCAGGATTTGCTAATCAAGCCGCACAGCATCCAAATTTTGACTCTTCTCTCCCTCACCGGCTATGCGAACCCGGGAATTGATCTGGAGAATCATGTCATGCAGATCCGGACGGGTGAAGGGAAGTCGATTGCGCTGGGAGGTGGCGCAGCGCTTCTGGGTCTGTTGGGCTTCCGAGTTCGTTGCATTTGCTATTCGAAGTACCTCAGCCAGAGAGACGAGAATGCCTTCAGCAGCTTGTTCGCCGAATTGCAGCTGCAGAATCATGGCTCCGAACGCATTGTCTACAGCACTATCACGGAGTACAGTCACTAGGCAGACAGATGCCTTACAACAAATTGTTCTTTGATTTGAGGTGCGGAATGAACATCCGAGGCATGCTTTGACATGCAGCGGTCAAGCACAATTCTTTCTGAAGTATACTGTCGGTATAGGTTCTTTTGATATCGAACTCAGACGGCGTCCGGTCATTCACATTTGCACGCCGCAATGCTGAGGTGAACATCGCACGGCGCAGAAAGGCGACGTCAGAAGCCTCACTCACGAGCTGGTGACCACAGGAAAGTTGAAACCGAGTCCTTTGAACAAGATGAACAAGGAGGTTGATGTCACTGTGGCAGATGGGACCAACCCTCACAAAGCGAGCAAGGCCAGGATGGAATACCACCCCATCGTGACTCCGTTGCTTTGCCCTGCTTGTGCTTTTTGCAAACAGATGATGATGTGACTTCCGTTTCTCTCATTCCCGCAACTGAATTGGATCACATATAATTATGCTTGCTAGGGAATGGATATAATTATTGAAGGCCTATTCCAACAATATGGTTGCCAAGAAAATAGCTTGTCAGGCATCTCAACCAATTGTCCTGGGTAGAGCGGATTCAGCCCATGGCCCAGCTCTACATGGCCAAGAGATTCTCCTCGTGGATGAAGTGGATGTATTTTTTGGCAGCAATTTCTATGGTCAAACCCACAACCAGGTGGCTGTCTTAGCCTCCCTGGAAGTCGAGGCGCTCTTGAGGGAGATGTGGAAGAACAGGGACAATGCATTGAATGCGCTTGCCTTTTTCCAAAAGATCCTTGAATGGAGGGAGTACAAAGCATTGGTGGAGAAATTCCCACACTTTGACAAGATGGTGAAGGCAGAGGTGTTTCAGATGTGTGCGGATTTGAAGGACCACTTGCAGACGAGGAATGACTACACCTTTCATTGTTGCAGAATAGGCTACAAGGTCATGGACGGTATTGCATATGATGTGGTCAAGGGCTACAAGACAGCATTCGCGTACTTGGAAGAAGCGAGCAAAGGTCGCTTGCCTGACGAGGCAATTTTGCGGAAGGCTTTGGCCCTACGAGTTCCATGCGGCCGTTTCTCCTATGCGAACCTGGGTGCGTCCCCCAAGATCTTAGGAGTGTCTGGAACGATTGAAGCCCTGGGCAGATACGAATGGACTGTGATGCAACGCTTTGGCATCAGCAGTTACACCTTGGTTCCATCTGTCTATGGCCGCAACAATTTTGCATTCCTGAATCAAGCCTGCGGTATTCCCATCGTTATTTCAAAGGATCAGGACCACGCGTTTGACATTTTCACTCAGGCCGGCGGCGGCTCATCGTCCTGTTGGCTAGCTCCTGGTTGTTCATACTTTCTATGGTAAACAGGAAGCTCTATGTCGTTCCATTCTTGGGCACGCATTTCACTACATCATTTCACTACATCATTTCACTTTGTTCAAGATAACTGTGATAGGATGCGCTTTCAGAGTCACTTTTTCCAACGCCATGCCAGGTCAACAAGAAGGTCCACGAAAATCGAGCGGTCATTGTCTTCTTTCGCGATGTGCGGCAAGTCAATGCGTTCACCCAGTCCACATATTACAGCAAAATTGCGAATAAGAACCTGGGCCGCCTTATGTGTCCCATGCTTCGTGACTAGACCTTGCAGAAACTGGGAAGCTTCCTACTCTCCGAGGAATGTGCTTCTTCCAGATCTTCCTGATGTGCACAAGGATTGGATCGTTAGCAAAGCAGCCACCAATCGTCAGGTCACGATTGTCGCAGCCTCAAGCACTTGAGTTCTTTATGTTTTTTCCTTTTCCACATCTTTGACACAGTGGGAGGAGGCCCAAAATGGCATTACAATCTGACCTGTGAACTCATGCGCATCCCGTTATCTCCATATCCATGCATGTTTGCAACCTGAAGAAAATTGCAATATAAACCAACCGTGTTTGCTCGGTAAGGCTCCAGCAATCTTTGGCCGCGGTACTGACTTTTGCTGCCGCTTGGGCCAAACATCGGGTGCTGTTGCCGTTTTGTGGAAGGGGCCCCTACATACCCCCTACATACCTCTACATTGGTCACTGCCTTGCCATGAAAGGACCATACACACTTATATGCCCAAATATTGAGAGTTGCTCGTGCCTAGGTTTCGATGAAAAACTCGAGCAGGCAAAGGAATGCCAAGCGGGAGAGAAAACTCCTTCAACAGTCACGAAAGCCAGCCGCTAGGCTAGGCGAAGTTCTATATGCGAACAAAGTGAGTTAAGGGGGTCTGGGGGCAGAGCGCCCGAAATCGGATAAAAATGAGGAAAATAGGTGGTAAAAAAGGTGGACGCAGGTAAACTTTTTTAGGGTTATGTACCAGGTGGCAATTGGGTGACGTTGGGGTATCGATTCCCCCCTGGTCCGCCCTCCGAGGTGGATCTGGGCAGATTGCAATGGAGGGGAAAATGATGAGACAAATAATAGAAAAAATGAGGGAATATGACATAAAACAATGGGAAAGGAGGGGAAAATGATGAGAAAAACAATGGAAAAAAAGGAGTGACTTTGACATAAAACAATGGAAAAAAATGGGAAAGCAATGGAAAATTTGAGTAGAACGCTTGGAAAATTGATTAAAACGCGAGGAGAAACGGTGGAAAGAATAGGGAGATGGTAAAATGGCTCCGATGTGGGACCATTATCGCGTAAAGCACGCGTGAAACAATGGAAAAGCAATGGAAAAATTGCAGTTTCGATGTGTGACCACTATGGAGTAGAAGCACAGAAAAAAACCATGGAGGAAACGAGCAAAACCGTTTATACGGTGCAACTGTAGGGATTGTGGAAGGTGCATTTGGGCAAGCGTTAGACACACTGGAGAAATCGAGTAACACCATGGCAAAACACTGGAAAAATTGATGAAATGGAAGGATAAATTGATCGCACAAAAACGCGAGGAAAAACGGTGGAAAGAATAGAGAGAGGGTAAAATGATGCCAAGTAAAATTGAGGCTCCGATGTGGGACCATTATCGCGTAAAGCACGCGTGAAACAATGGAAAAGCAATGGAAAAATTGCAGTTTTGATGTGTGACCACTATGGAGTAGAAGCACGGAAATAAAACCATGGAAGAAACGAGCAAAACCCTTTATACGGTGCAACGGTAGGGATTGTGGAAGGTGCATTTGGGCAAGCGTTAGACACACTGGAGAAATCGAGTAACACCATGGCAAAACACTGGAAAAATTGATGAAATGGAAGGATAAATTGATCGCACAAAAACACGAGGAAGAACGGTGGAAAGAATAGGGAGAGGGTAAAATGATGCCAAGTAAAATTGAGGCTCCGATGTGGGACCATTATCGCGTAAAGCACGCGTGAAACAATGGAAAAGCAATGGAAAAATTGCAGTTTTGATGTGTGACCACTATGGAGTAGAAGCACGGAAATAAAACCATGGAAGAAACGAGCAAAACCCTTTATACGGTGCAACTGTAGGGATTGTGGAAGGTGCATTTGGGCAAGCGTTAGACACACTGGAGAAATCGAGTAACACCATGGCAAAACACTGGAAAAATTGATGAAATGGAAGGATAAATTGATCGCACAAAAACGCGAGGAAGAACGGTGGAAAGAATAGGGAGAGGGTAAAATGATGCCAAGTAAAATTGAGGCTCCGATGTGGGACCATTATCGCGTAAAGCACGCGTGAAACAATGGAAAAGCAATGGAAAAATTGCAGTTTTGATGTGTGACCACTATGGAGTAGAAGCACGGAAAGAAAACCATGGAAGAAACGAGCAAAACCGTTTATACGGTGCAACTGTAGGGATTGTGGAAGGTGCACTTGGGTAAGCGTTAGACACACTGGGGTAACATAAGGGTAATGATGGAGAAATCGAGTAACACCATGGCAAAACACTGGAAAATTGATGAAATGGAAGAATAGATTGATAGCATATAAAACAATGGGAAAAGAATGGAAAATTTGAGTAGAACGCTTGGAAAATGATTCCAAGTAAAATAAAAGTAAAAGGATGGAAATTGATGGGGTGGAAAAACAATGGAAAAATGGCTCCGATGTGGGACCATTATCGCGTAAAGCACGCGTGAAACAATGGAAAAGCAATGGAAAAAATGCGGTTTCGATGTGTGACCACTATGGAGTAGAAGCACGGAAATAAAACCATGGAAGAAACGAGCAAAACCGTTTATACGGTGCAACGGTAGGGATTGTGGGAGGTGCATTTGTGTAAGCGTTAGACACACTGAGATAATAGAAGGGTAATGATGGAGAAATCGAGTAACACCATGGCAAAACACTGGAAACATTGATGAAATGGAAGGATAAATTGATAGCCTAGCGTAAACTATGGGACGATTGAGTAAAACTGAAGGAAAAACTGTGAAAAAAACACTGGGGAGACTGGAATGGAGGGGAAAATGATGTCGAGTAAAACTATGGAAAAGCAATGGAAAAATGAAAAAAATGTGGCTTCGATGTGAGACCATTAGCGATGGAAAAGCAATGGAAAAATCGAGGGACTATGATGAAGAAGTGGAGAAAAACAATGGAAAACATATTGGAAAAATTGCGGCTCTGATGTGGGACCAAAATGATGCCAAGTAAAATAAGAGGAAAATGACGGAAATTGATGGGATGGAAACACAATGGAAAAATTGAGGCTCCGATGTGGGACCATTATATGTGCAAGAAGAGTTTCTGGGTGAAGAGTCTCTAGGTGAAAAGTTTATATGGGTGAAAAGTATATGCAAGAAGAGTTTCTGGGTGAAGAGTCTCTGGGTGAAAAGTCTGTGCAAGAAGAGTTTCTGGGTGAAGAGTCTCTGGGTGAAAAGATGTGAACAGTATATTATTGGTGAAAAGTATGTGCAAGAAGAGTTTCTGGGTGAAGAGTCTCTGGGTGAAAAGTATATGGGTGAAAAGTAGGTGCAAGAAGAGTCTCTGGGTGAAAGTATATGGGTGAAAAATATGTGCAAGAAAAGTTTCTAGGTGAAGAGTCCCTGGGTGAAAAGTATATTGGTGAAAAGTATGTGCAAGAAGAGTTTCTGGGTGAAGAGTCTCTGGGTGAAAAGTATATGGGTGAAAAGTATGTGCAAGAAGAGTCTCTGGGTGAAAAGTATATGGGTGAAAAGTATGTGCAAGAAGAGTTTCTGGGTGAAAGTATATGGGTGAAAAGTATATGGGTGAAAAGTATGTGGAAGAAAAGTTTCTGGGTGAAGAGTCTCTGGGTGAAAAGTATATGGGCGAAAAGCATGTGCAAGAAGAGTTTCTGGGTGAAGACTTCTGGGTAAAAAGTATATGGGCGAAAAGTATGTGCAAGAAGAGTTTCTGGGTGAAGAGTCTCTGGGTGAAAAGTATATGGGTGAAACGTATGTGCAAGAAGAGTCTCTGGGTGAAAAGTATATGGGTGAAAAGTATTCTCTGGGTTAAAAGTATATGGGTGAAAAGTATGTGCAAGAACAGTTTCTGGGTGAAGAGTCTCTGGGTGAAAAGTCTGTGCAAGAAGAGTTTCTGGGTGAAGAATCTCTGGGTGAAAAGTATATGGGTGAAATGTATGTGCAAGAAGAGTTTCTAGGTGAAGAGTCTCTGGGTGAAAAGTATATGGGTGAAAAGTATGTGCAAGAAGAGTTTCTGGGTGAAGAGTCTCTGGGTGAAAAGTATATGGGTGAAAAGTATGTGCAAGAAGAGTTTCTGGTTGAAGAGTCTCTGGGTGAAAAGTATGTGCAAGAAGAGTTTCTGGGTGAAGAGTCTCTGGGTGAAAAGTATATGGGTGAAATGTATGTGCAAGAAGAGTTTCTAGGTGAAGAGTCTCTGGGTGAAAAGTACATGGGTGAAAAGTATGTGCAAGAAGAGTTTCTGGGTGAAGAGTCTCTGGGTGAAAAGTATATTGGTGAAAAGTATGTGCAAGAAGAGTTTCTGGGTGAAGAGTCTCTGGGTGAAAAGTATATGGGTGAAAAGTATGTGCAAGAAGAGTTTCTAGGTGAAGAGTCTCTGGGTGAAAAGTATATGGGTGAAATGTATGTGCAAGAAGAGTTTGTGGGTGAAAAGTATCTGGGTGAAATGTATGTGCAAGAAAGGTTTCTAGGTGAAGAGTCTCTGGGTGAAAAGTATATTGGTGAAAAGTATGTGCAAGAAGAGTTTCTGGGTGAAGAGTCTCTGGGTGAAAAGTATATGGGTGAAAAGTATGTGCAAGAAGAGTCTCTGGGTGAGTATATGGGTGAAACGTATGTGCAAGAAGAGTTTCTGGGTGAAGAGTCTCTGGGTGAAAAGATGTGAACAGTATATTGGTGAAAAGTATGTGCAAGAAGAGTTTCTGGGTGAAGAGTCTCTGGGTGAAAAGTATATGGGTGAAAAGTAGGTGCAAGAAGAGTCTCTGGGTGAAAGTATATGGGTGAAAAATATGTGCAAGAAAAGTTTCTAAGTGAAGAGTCTCTGGGTGAAAAGTATATTGGTGAAAAGTATGTGCAAGAAGAGTTTTTGGGTGAAGAGTCTCTGGGTGAAAAGTATATGGGTGAAAAGTATGTGAAGAGTCTCTGGGTGTATAAAAGTGAAAAGTATGTGGGTGAAAGAGTATGTGCAAGAAGAGTTTCTGGGTGAAGAGTCTCTGGGTGAAAAGTATATGGGTGAAAAGTATGTGCAAGAAGAGTTTCTGGGTGAAGAGTCTCTGGGTGAAAAGTCTGTGCAAGGAGAGTTTCCGGGTGAAGAATCTCTGGGTAAAAGTATATGGGTGAAATGTATGTGCAAGAAGAGTTTCTGGGTGAAGAGTCTCTGGGTGAAAAGTATATGGGTGAAACGTAGGTGCAAGAAGAGTATCTGGGTGAAAGTATATGGTGAAAAATATGTGCGAGAAAAGTTTCTAGGTGAAGAGTCTCTGGGTGAAAAGTATATGGGTGAAAAGTATGTGCAAGAAGAGTTTCTGGGTGAAGAGTCTCTGGGTGAAAAGTATATGGGTGAAAAGTATGTGCAAGAATGGTTTCTGGGTGAAAGAGTCTCTGCGTGAAAGTCGTGCAAAGAAGAGTTCTGGGTGAAGATTCTCTGGGTGAAAAGGTATGCATGGGTGAAAATTAGGGCAAGAAGGGTTTTCTTCTGTGCAGAGTCCTCTGAGTCTCTTGGGTGAAAGTT